AGTTGACAGAAAGGATGCAACCAACATCTCCACACTGCAGGGAAAATCCAGAAAAAAGGATTGTGCCAGGGACTAAAACAGGAAAAAAAAATCAAGTCTAAATCCTTCATGAAGCCATAAATAGAAGTCACAGTTTCCCTTAGCTCTTGTTGTAGAGAAAAGGATAATCAGAAAGAATTTTGGGGGGCTCTTCTTTCTTCTCCAATATCTTTCTTCCCAGTATCTGCTTTCCAAATCCTAAGATAACCATATTTTGCCCATAGTAATTGGGCAAAATTAAACTGCCTATTAATTTAATTAGGCATTAATTAAACTGCCTCAAGTCATGCATTCAATCCTGTATACACACTCTTTACAGGGTAAGTTTCTCTGTCTTACTTATTGGAAAAACCTGACAGCATTCACAATGCCTACCTAGCATATAGTAGGGACTCAATAAATATTAGTTAAATAAAAACCAGTTACATGTCTGTTGTCATATCAAAACTCTAAAGAAAATATTATAATATGCCAACTAATTCACTAACATAAATGACTAATATCAGAATGTTTACAATTTTGCCATAGGCAACAGGACTAAGATGCCTAGAGGGCTTGAAGTAGAAGGAGGCACCACAGCTGAGAATACAGACAACAAACAAAACTCTTGAGAAACTTCACAGCTTTGTCAAGGGAAGTTTATGTTTACCATCAGCTGGGAGGGGACAAATAGCAGCTTTGTGAAAATATGTTTGTTGCGTTTAGTGCCAAGATGCGAAGTTGTTTCCAGGAATTTGTGGTGATTTATTGTATGTTTTAAACATTCTTATACAGAATTTTTTTTTGTTTCAAAAGATCCTTTTTATCATCTTTGGCCAAATTTCCTTCCCAATAACAGTCTGTTTGAAAGTGAGAGAACAGAAAATTAACCTTAGTTTCCAACTTTGAAAAAAAATTGTTTAAGCAACCTATGCTTTGAAATATCACACTACTTTGTGGAAAGTTAATATTAGAACACAGAAACTTGGATCAAATTATAAATCCACTTTTCTAGAAAGTGTCATCAATTTCCTAGAGGGGAACTTATAAATTCAGGTTCTATAAAAAAAATTTGGCTCTCCTGAAAATATGAGGTATTCATTGCTTTTTGTGTTCACCTCAGAAGCATTGATAAAATACTCCCCTTGCCAAGCATATATCAATATTTGTTTTGGCTAAACAGCTGGTACTTAATAATTCAACACTAAACTATTTTTTACTTTTCTCTGGTTAATTTATTGCAGCAAAGATATAATTGGTTTTCCATAACTAAAGCCCCTGACCCTTTTTATCATTTCTACTCTGGCATCTTAGACATATTAAAATGATGAGTGGTCAATGGTAAGAAGGGGATCAGGGAGGGAGATATAGAAATAAACAGGACATATGTTGCAAAAATTAGGGTAGTAGTCTACCATCTATCACAGGAGTTCCAAATTCTGGTCTACCATGGAGTGACCTGGGTATCAGCTTATTCATCTATAAAATACATGTGTTGGATCCAGTTATAGCTAAGATTCTCACTGGCTTTGAAGCAATGCATACTACTCTCTGTGGGATAACACCTCTCTTCTGTTCACTTGAAGCTCCTGGTTTAAAAACAATAAGATATTACTCCTTCATTCGCCCAAATGTGAGTGATTCTGAGCATCATTTCTAGCTGCAGCCTGGGAAGTGCACAAGTCTTAATTAACAATGCCTTAAAACTGGCATATCTTATGTCCAAAACGGAAAAATGGGCTGAAACACATACTCTAAGAGCTGTACCACAGGCTGAAAAAATGAGGCCTGCACATGTCTCAATTGTTGAGCAGCCTGGCTGACTTTTGACCCGACTTAGCATTATTTGAAGCAGCTTACTGACCCTGCCAATAACATCACACATATTAGGACACACATCTTGTAAGTGAACCATAGATGGTGCTGAGCAACATAAAGAATCCAGGCAATACATATGTAGACTGTAAACTGCTCAAACAGAATAGCTACTGAAGGAACTGCTGGTACATACACTGATTGCTTCTCTGAGGTTCAGGAGCCAGGTTTTAGGATTCTTCAATGGTCTTGCTTTAAAAAGCCTAAATCATTTCTCAAGACATTATATGTAACAAAAGGCTGCATCTATTTTCCTCAATGCAGGGCTAATCTAGTAGTAGGAGATATGTTTAGGGCATAGAAATAAAGTATGCCTTCCAGAAGCTGGATAAAAGAGAAAAACAGCCTTTGAGAATTAGTAGGTATCACTCTAATCTGAAGCTTGTACTGTCCTTTTCAATCCTAGCAAAGAAACAATTAATAAAGGAACCCATTAAGACCTGATTATTGCAGCTAAAAAAGGAAGGTAGAATTTCAGTCCTTTGAAGTAACTGAGAATGATTCAGGCCTCATTACAGAGATATAATCTACATTCATACATTTATGTTAGTGATTCAAATCTATTGGGAGAGATTGAATTCCGTTAAATAGTACATCTTTCCTGTGGAACTTTTCTCAGGCTTTCTCGGGCTAACCTAAGAGGTGACCTAACAATGCAAAGTAGTAGGGTATTTAGGGATTCAACTGTGCTGTAAAAGAAAGGCTGTACAGAAAAGAAAAAGAAGAATGAGATATAATCTAAAAAGCTATGTCAGCTTTTCCTTTGGGCTGTTTTGTAAATGCCCTCTTGTCATCAAGCTGTATAGAAGAGCAGCGAAGGGGCTCTAGAACTTTCAAACACTGCACCTGCTGCAACCAGATTTTAATATGAAAGTTTAAAGATGTCTTTTCCCTCATTTCAGATAGAAAGAAAAAAGAAACTCATACCTAAAAGATCTGAATAGCTTCTTCGACTGGAACATAAAGTTAGCAGATGTGTGTGAGAGACAGAGGCAAAGAGACTAGCTTTGGATTGCAGGGGTGCATGTCTAGGGTGAGTTTAACAAAAATGTTTAAATCCCAAGCTGGCATCAATAGTGTTGGTTCCTATTGTAAAGAAACCCCAAAATAATAACTTCCTGTGTTTTGTAACTTTTCACAGCAGAATCTTTATTGTATGGTTTCATCAAACATAATTTTTAAAAAAACATGTAGTCTTAATTAGTTGTCAATTCAAACATTTGGATTCTTCTGGACCACTGGGCTGAAACCCAAATCCCCTGGAAACACTACACTTACTTTTAGTTGTTTGTCCTCTCAGGTATAAAACTGTGAACTAAAAAACTGAAATTAGCACTATTGGTTCATTTTTCAATATCCTAAAGAAAAAGACTCGTTTGATGTATGCTCTTTATTTGTTTAACTTTCCAATTAATATCTACAGAAATTAGAGCTAATTATACTAAACTTAAAAACCTATTGTAATATTCACCACGTTGTTGAAATCTAACAGTTATAACTAATGTAATTAAAATCCCGATTCTAGTATTAAATGATTCTATTTTGTTTTTTTAATGGTGTCTGGTTCTGCGGCCCAGGCTAGAGTGCAGTGGCACGATAGCTCACTGCAACCTCTGCCTCCTGGTTTCAAGTGATTCTCCTGCCTCAGCCTCCCTGGTAGCTGGGATTACCAGCACAAGCTGCCACACTCAGATAATTTTTTGTATTTTAGTAGAGATGGGGTTTCACCATGTTGCCCAGGTGGGTCAAATGATTCTATTTCAAAGGCTTTGAAAGCACAGAAAAATTTAGGAACATTCATGTAAACCCATTTTTCAAGTCACTAAATACTTAATTGAGCAATCATTCCTAATGCTCATCTCTAAAGCCATTTTTTTTTTAATTTCTTTGCATTTCCTCTGGTTCACAACCAACATGGAGGTCAAACCCACATTATAGGGATCCTTGCTGTGTAAACACAGGCTCTTCTCATTAGTTCCCTCCAAATTATAGTTGCTGTTGTTAAACTCCCAGTTCACCTTGAAGTGTTCCTCTGTCTTATATTGGCAGCTTAAATTTAGGTTGAACCATACGAAATTACCACTTTTGTAGGTGCAAAACCTCAAAATATTGGCAATTTTATGGGCTTCAACAAAACACAAATATCCAGTTGTCCTCTGTGACATAGATTTTATTCCAGTACATGTTTAGGCATTCCTTCCAGTTACACTTTCCCTAGTTTAGAGCCATTCTTAAAGACGTGGTCCTCCAGGAGCTGTTTCTTATTCAGATTGGAATGGATTATCACAGTATTTCCTTTTTTGAGCCTCTTAATTCTTGGCAAAGTCTTCCTAGCCTTGGACTTTGTTCTGTTAATACCTGGGTTGTGAGCTAGTTTCTGTGAGCAAGGGAGACGTTGGGATGGTGTGAAAGAGTGTGAGAAGAGAGGAAGACTGGTAGTGCATTAATATTGTAAAACGGGCCATTTAAACGGTAAATGTGAAGATAGAAAAAGAAAAACCTCCTCTTTATGACAAAGTGCGAAGGAAATTGCATAGAAAAGAAAACAGACAGCAGGGATATTCAGCCAAATTGTATGGTAAAATCTTTGCGATCTCAATAACGCCAAAGCGTTCGCTTTGAAGTGCACGCGTGATTCAGTGAAGGGCTCATGTTAGCAATTAGAAATCGGTTATTTGGGTCCCTGATTTCATTTGCGCCAAGAGAGAAGCAACTTTTAAGAGTGACGATAAATCTCCCTGAGCTTAAAAGGCAGAGAGGGCTAAAGTGTGAACTTTTTACTTCAGCAACGGAAGCGAGAAATCAGTGATTCATTAAAGCGGAGACCTCCTTGGAAGCTGGCAGCAGAGGAGGAAAGGACGCTAATTATGTCTTCCTTTTCTGTGCCCGCTCCGACCAGTTTATAATCTGCTGCTCCGGAGGGTTTAAAATCCTCAGCATCTTCTACTTTCTCCCAGCCCTCTCCTCTTCTGGGAGTGAGAAGGGGGAAAAAGTCAGCCAAGCACCAGGCTCCAGGTGGCTCTCAAGTACTTCACTGCCAAAAGAAATGGGGGTGGGGGGAGGAGATCCTAACGCTGGAAAACAAGTGAGAAAGGGGCTCCCCAGAGGGGATTGGTTCAGGCTGAGAGACAGTAAAATTCGGAAAGCAGGAGGATACTTCGAGCACAGGACGCTTTAGCCGTGAATTAGCCAGGGTTAGGAGCTCCTCCGGCGGAGGCTGCGGCTGCGACAGCCAAGCCGTGGAAGGGACCTGGCAGCCCCCGAGCTCGGAGCAAAGGCACCGCTCTCTCCTCGCTCCCCTGCTCCCCCACCCCCTTCTCTGCCCCTTTCACCCTCCCTCTCCCTGGCGTTCCCAGCAGCCTAGGGTTTCAGATGTCCCACCGTAGTTTGACCCCCTCCCCCCTCTTCTCCACCCCTGCAAATGAGGTTTGACCAGCAGAGGCAGAGCCTACCTCTGGCTTAGAATCACTGACATTTCGACTCCAGGCTTCAACCTGTTTACAAGTGGACTCTGCAAAGGAAGGGGGTGGGGGATAGGGCCAAACAAAACACCAGCCACCGTCCCCCAAAACAAAAAGTGACTTTCAAATCGGCAGGCACCACTAAAAAGAGAAAGGAAGAGAGGGAAGAAAACGACGGCGACTGGGCAGCTGCCTCCGGTTCTGACAACTCCAAAGGGATACACTTTTAGAAGTGGCTCGCAGGCTGGGGCTCCGCAGAGAGAGACCAGGAGGTGCCAGCCGCAGAGGGGTACAGATATCTCCCCCTGTCCCTCACCCCACCTCCCTTGGGTTTTGTTCACCGTGCTGTCATCTGTTTTTCAGACCATTTTGGCATCTAACATGAAGAAAGGAGTAAAGAAGAGAACAAAGTAACTCCTGGGGGAGCGAAGAGCGCTGGTGACCAACACCACGACCGCCACCACCAGCTCCTGCTGCTGCGGCCACCCACATCCACCATTCACTGGGAGACTCCAGAGGCTTAGGCAGCGGATCCGAGAAAGGAACGAGGGGAGAAAGCCGGCTTTTCCGAGGAGTTATGGATGTTGGTGCATTCACTTCTGGCCAGATCCGCGCCCAGAGGGAGCTAACCAGCAGCCACCAACTCCAGCTCTCTCCTTGCCTTGCACCAGGTCTTACCCTTCCAGTATGTTCCTTCTGATGCGACAAGTTCCAGTTCCGAGAGTTTCAGTACAATGTGGAAATGGATACTGACACATTGTGCCTCAGCCTTTCCCCACCTGCCCGGCGGCTGCTGCTGCTGCTGCTTCTTGTTGCTGTTCTTGGTGTCTTCCATCCCTGTCACCTGCCAAGCCCTTGGTCAGGACATGGTGTCACCAGAGGCCACCAACTCTTCCTCCTCCTCCTCCTCCTCTCCTTCCAGCGCGGGAAGGCATGTGCGGAGCTACAATCACCTTCAAGGAGATGTCCGCTGGAGAAAGCTGTTCTCTTTCACCAAGTACTTTCTCAAGATTGAGAAGAACGGGAAGGTCAGTGGGACCAAGAAGGAGAACTGCCCGTACAGTAAGTAACAAATGCGTGCTCCCTTCCTTCCAATTATCCACCCCCAGCCCACACGGGGGGGAAAAATCTGTTCCAGATGTGGCCAGCTAAATATTTACGTCCCCAACCCCTGTAAAATGATTAAGTGGAATACTTTCACACTAATTCACCCCCCTCCCGTGTATACATTGTGCTGCTGCATCCCCTCCCCTAAGTGCGCTCCCTCCACACCCCCCACCCCTTGCCGCCCTATCCACCCCTTCTCTCTAGCCTGTCACTAGCCGGACCAGGGCGGCCAAGAGAGCTGCTGCAGTGCAAAGATGCCTCTTTCTCTCCACCGCCCTTCCCACCTCATCCAAAGAGCTCTTTTTCCTTCCTTCTGGAAATGGCTCAAGTAAACACATTTTTTCCCCCTTTTCTCTTTCTTGTTAAGAGTTTTGGGGCAGGCTCCCCAAGCTGAAAATAATTACCCACTGTCAATTATAGGGGCTTTGTGGGAACTTTAAGAAAAAAAAGTCAATTCCACTCTCTTCCCACCCCCATCCCTTTACCCCACCACCTCTAGATATCAGCGAAAAGCATTTTTTCTGGTTTTGATTTTTGTTTTGTTTTGTTTTGGGTCCCTTATTTTAGTTTGAGTGATTGCAGTTCATGAAGTTAGCTTTTAGCTTTTCAGGCACCACCGCTGCTATTTGTCTTCTGCCTGCCTTCTCTCTTGGTAACATGATGCTCATGTCTGTATTGTCAATAGCGTATGTGCTGCTTTGTGGTGTCCTGTTGTACTGTTTCTTCTGAAACCTCTCATATTGCAGAGCCATACTACTACAGCATTGTAAACATCTGGGACTGGATTCACACAGACCTCACACAAATTTCATTGTCATTCTTTTATTTTCAAAGTAAAAGTCATATGTCTGTTTCCATGGCTATAGTTTATCCCACAGTGTGACGTTTCCTCCCCAGCACAAATTATGCCTGGGATCCCTAGATTTTGTTCTCGCCTTTGCCCTCTCTCTTTCCTTCTTTCTCTTGTTTCTTTCTTGCAGGGGTGTGGGCTGGTTGGGTAGAGAGAACTAGAAGAGGAGGGGTGGATATTGTGTCTCTTCTTGAATCAACTCTGCAAAGCCAGATTACTCTGTTGACTTCCTTTCTCAGTTACTTTCAAGTGGTGAGACTTATTCATCCCCTATTGATTGTTATTTGAAAGGAACCCAAGGCTCTGTAATGGCACACTGAAGACAGTAGACAATGATGTTTAAACATCTTTAGTGACCATTTGGCATTATCTCAATGGTAAATTCCAAGTCACCTTTAACGGGGACTTTTTTGTTAGTTGTTCAGGAATTCTAAGCGTAGATTGTCAGCTAACTTAAATACACGAGTCACACATTTCAAGATTCCTTGGTTTAGAAAGTGCCAGGTGCTAATGGGAATGACAGTTGAACAGAATTTAGCATTTTATTTTTAAATACAAATTTACAAGAATTAAGATTTAGTTTTCTTCTGTGGGGATGCATACACATTCAACATTAACTTCTATTCCTCCTCAGCCACTGCTTTTATTTACTGAAATTCACAAAATGCTTACAAGTAAATAAAAATATGTGTAGAAATGTTTTTAAAGTATTTCATTTTATGTTTCATACTAGAGATATTAACTATTCCATACCTGATTCATAGAAAGTAGCTGAAATAATGTTACAATGATGACAATTGTTTTTGCTTAAAAGTAATTTGTTACTTGAATTCATTAGACCCTATGTATAACCTTTAAGGGTTTTCAATTAAAAATTTTAAACCTTCGTTTACTTCTAACATAAAATGGTGTGGTCTCATTCAGTTAGGAGGATGGGAAAGAAGCTGTCCAAACACTGGGCTGGACAGAGTGAGCTGGGAATTAAAAAAAAAAAAATTTTCCAGGGACTGATTTCTTATTTTTCATGGAGAAAACTCAAGAGTATAAGATAAAATTTCAAAGTGTTATCCTTGAGCAATTCTTTTTCTTCTTAAAAAATGTTTGTGCTATACTTTAAATGTCTTTATGATGTGACTTAAGGACAAATCTGCTGTTTTAGTTTACACAACTTAAATTGCTATTTTCTAGAATAACAATCATGTGTGATTAGCTGCATAGTAAAATGATTTCCACAGTACCCACTGAATTTCATCTTCACAATAGGAACTATTTGCATAGAAGGAAAGTATACAATATATATTGTATAAAAGAGGTGTAGAAAAGTTCCATCCTAACTGTCCAAAATATACTAATATTTTATTTTCTATGTAATGAAATATATTAAGCATTTCTTATAATGACAAGCTAAATATCTTATATGGTAATGCAATCTTAATCAATGGTTAAAAGCGAAAGGGGAAGGGTTCCTTTCGCTAAATCTTGTCAAACCATAAATAATTTAGGCTTTCCAAGAATATCTGTATCAAAACATAGCAAGTGAAAATGAGAGATTGAAAAAGGCTTAATTTCACATGTGGCCGGGTAATCTAAGTGCTGCTACAATTTCCAGCTGGACTGATTCAGCTGAACTACATGGTATCATTAAGATATTGTCTAAATGTTGCATAATAACATATGAACAAACTTTTGCCATGCCTACAGGGTAGCCAGCCAGCCCGTCCACCACCAAATGGTAGCCTGTTAAATACTCGAATAGCTAACCTCTGAAGAGTGTCAGTTCCTTTTCCAAAAACCACATTTCAGTAACATTTTCCTAAACAAGTTATTAATTATTCTCAATATACAAAACCGTTCTTTTGAGGTTTGTTTATTTGAAGGTTAATTTTCTTTGTTGCTTTTGACCTTAGTATTATTGCTGCTAAAATACAGTAACAGCTTATCTAAGAGGTTATATGTTTTTGATGTCCTGGGTAATTAAACAACTGTTTTACTGGCTTTTTGCCAGCAGAATGCTAACAAAAGGGAAGAAAGACAATCACTCTCAAGTATTGCAAAATCATTTTTAACTTCTACTTCCAAAGCTAGTTCCCAGAAATTTGATGGTTCTAAAAATACCACATCTACTAAAGAAGCTCTTCTCTCTATGGCTATTATAATGTTTTTTGAGGGGGCTATACTTTTTGTTTGCTTCTTTGCCATGATATGAGAGTAGAATAAAGAGAGCAGAGATGAATTATATTTCTCCTGCTAGAAGTCTGAGAAAGCTTGAATAATTTAGAATAGCTGTGGTGTATCTGTCATTAGATATGTGCAGGCTCATTTAGGTTTTGTTTTATCATCCTTTACATCTAGAGCTTTGCCCTTGAAACCTTACCACTCGGCTTTAGTTCTGACCTCTTAGGCTGGATACAGCTGTTAGGTATCCTTGCAACTGGGACCAGTTGACTTATTTCTGGATGTGAGGAAAACAGCTGTGGACTTCTCTCATGGTTGTCATTTGTAGATAAGAGGGATCTATAGTGAAAGGAAAATGTATCCCTAAACATGAGACAACTAAGGATAGATATTCCCAAAAGGGAAAGTCATAAAAAAGGCTCATGGGCCTTTCTGGGAAAGAAGTATGGGAGGCAATAGAGAAATCTGTGAGCTTCTTTCATGGTTGTCATTTGTTGATAAGAGGGGTCTAGTGAATAGAAAATGTATCCCTAAACATGAAACAACTAAGGATAGATATTTCCAAAAGGGAAAGGCACAAAAAAGGGCACACAGGCCTTTCTGGGAAAGAAGTATGGGAGGCAACAGAGAAATGAATATGTAATGAGTATGTAGTATATGCTTATCTCTATAAATACATATTTCATTTAACAATCATAACAGTCCTACAACTATCCACACTAATTCTGAAAAAAGGAAACTGTCCAAGGTCATTCAACTAGAAATGGGCAGAACCGAGATTCAAGCCCCAACCTATTGGTTTTATCTCTCCTTATTTACTGTACCTGTCTGCTACTTCCAAAATGGATATCAATTCATTAGAATTTGACACCCCAAATCTTTAAAAAGACAAATTATCCAAATCCTTACTTGCTTCTTGCTGTGAACACCAGCAGTTCTTTAGAATTAAATTGGAACAGAAATAAAATGACAATTGAAGAAAAACAAATACATGAAAGGTATCATTGCAGGCGACCACATAATATCAGACAAGATTAGTGTATTCTCTAGGTAAACTCTCTCTTTTGATACTATTTGGGAATATACTTGTTTATGGAGACACATAAAATACACATACATCAATCTCACTTAATGTTAACAGAGGGCATTAGGAATACATGAGTATTTAAGAAAAAAATCCATGAATGTCATTTTATATAGTAATTGTTTACAGCTGAGGGCCAAATGTTTAATTGTTCCCAACTGTAATAAAATAATTTGATTGTAAATACCTGTGAGAAATTGGACTGCTGAAGAAAATTCCGATACATGACTCTAAAAAGGGTGACATCTTAGAGACTTAAGCTATATTAAGAAAACTTCAAAAGATACCTGCAAATCAAAAAGGTACTTTACCATATAAAATGACAGATTATTGTCTGGGATTAAAGGTTTGGACTATTACTTTTCAACCAGGACTAGAGCTTATTAGGAAGCTAAATGAAGTGAGAAAAAATAATCGTTAAGGAAAATAGGAACTCAAAAATTAACTCCTAATAAAGACACAAGAGTTTTCTGGGAAGAAAAACTATAGACAATTTATGGTTTCCAGCGGTGTCTTATTTCAGTTTTGGTTGTTTCTAGCATTTGGTTGCATAATTTATAACCGGCAGCATTGAATCATGAACATTGAGGATTTATGAAGGTGAAAGGCACTGTATTTAATGTTTACATGACATTGTCCTGTTACCTTTACTGCATTCCTACCATATGGACCCTCCACTTTGATGGCTTTATCATAAATCTATTAAAAATGCACAATTCAAGAGACTTTCCTCTTCATAAACCTGATTTATAACCACCTATGAGGAGAAACCTAAGAAAGCAGTTGTCAGGAATCACATGCTTGCATTGGAGCATGAGAATTCAGACACCAAGTTCTAGGTCTTGG